TTTATTTAAATATTTTAAATTTTAAAAAAAGTAAATTATAAGCAAATTTATAGCAATTTTCCAGGCAAATTTGCCTGAAATTGCTTATAGTTTAAGGGATAACTCTTACTCTAACCCTAACTATTTTCAAATCTGTTTAGATTAGTTCAAATAATTATTTTTATATTAAATAATCTTATAATATTTATATATTCCCACCTGTACTAAATATCAACTCTCTAATCTATAACTCCTAATTTCTAACCTCTAACCCTTATTCTAATTCTAATATTAAAGAGATTTGTCTTTATTTTTATTTATAAAATTGTTTTTTTAATATTTGTAAATTACAGATAATAATCGCCTGTGATAAATATTAAATTATTTTTTTTGATATATCTATAATAAAAATATCAAAAACATATTATATATTTAGCAACTAATTATATCTAATATGATATCCAACAGGGTTTTTTAATATAATATTACAATAAGTTTAATGCAAACCAATTTAATCTTAGTCATATACTATATAGTACTAGAATAGCAAGTAAGCTCTGTAGCAGAATTTTTACAATAACTTTTCATGAGTTGTTTTTTTCTTTTATTGCTTTATTGTTGTTTTATATTAGTTTATTTAAAATTTTGTTTTTTATATTTTGTAAAAAATCTAGTTATACTATAGTTTTGTTATTATCAGATTAAACATGTATTGACTTACAAATAATTCAGATTAAATTTTTAATATACTCAACTTTGTATATAAAAAATTTACTATATTTAATAACTATTATAATAACATTTTAGATAAGTAAATTTAATAGTGTTATAGTGTTGTAAAACAGGTTTTTATAGATTAGCATAGTATAGCACATAATTTATATTCTATATTCTATATTTTATATTATTTAGCTTTAAATTTATTAACTTGTATTTTATATCAGATATTTATTATTATATTTGTATTATATATTATTATTGGTATAAGTATTAACAGAGACTTTATTAAGTAAAATATTAAAGTAAAGCCACTGTGGCACATACTGTGGCTAAAATAGACAAGGTAGTATCAAAGATTATACATAACCCTCAACTCCCTCAACATATCTCTCAACTTCCTTAACATAACTCTTAACTCTCTCTACATGTCTTTTAACTTCTACAACACAACCTTTAACTTCCTCAACTTCCTCCATTCCTTTAACACAGCTCTCAACTCTCTCAACATGGCCCTCAACTTCCTCAAGTACATGTTACAATACTCTCAACTCTCTCTACTACTTTGGCTTGGCATGTAAAAGATATATAAAGGGTATATTTGCTCCTTTTGCCTAGTTTAGAATTTCTACCTCCTCTTATAATATTAGATACTTCTTTTACCCCCTCTTATAATATTAGATACTTTTTTTACCCCCTCTTGTAAAGTGTAATATTTCTCTCTCTAGAGTAATTCCTATAGGCAAGGTTTATTACAATTTGTTATCTTAATAAAGTTATATACTGCTACTATTTCAAATCATTTGCCTTCTGCTAGTAAAATAAAAACTGTCTTTCACTTCCACTTCATGTATTTGGAATAGGCCAGGCTAAACCCATGGGTTTGTGAGTTGGGCAGGGTTTGGGTCAAAACCAGGTTCAATATTTTGACCTATTTATAAAGTAGGCCAGGTTTATACCAGGTTTATTAAATACTAGGTTTGGGTTGGGTTTTAGAAACAAGCTCGTGAGAGCCTGTTATAATTTCTTATATAAATAAATAAAAAACAAGTTTAAAGCAAAACTTTAGTTTATAGTTCACTTAAATTCTCTAATATAGATACAATTATCTGCATTTATAGTTAATCTTATTTCTTAATAATTTAAATACATTGTATATATAGAATCTAGGTTTTAAATTTTTTAATTTCGATTATTTTTCTAGTGCTTGAAGGCACTTTTTTTTAATATCAAATGACAATTTTTTTAATATAGAAACAGAAAAAAAACATGTGAAAGCAACATCTTAAAAATATTATGTGCTTTTTTTTTTTTAAAAAAAAAAAAAAAGAAATGTTATTAAACCTTCTATTAAAACAATTAATATAATGCCTATAATGATAAATAATTATAAATTCATTTGTTAGTAATAGCGAAGATATTGAAATAACCTTTGCTAAAAATGAAAGTACAAAAGCTACTACTATTGAAAGTGCTAAAACAACCCCTACTAACAGAAAGCGTAAAGTTGAAAACTCTCATTCATAGGTCTTTAAGGAAGAGTATTTTATTAAAGATGATTGATTTTTTGTTATATAAGAATTTAGTTAATTATATAATATTTAGTAATTTGTATTTATTAAGGGTAGAGAGTATGTAGATCATTTTGTCATATGATTTTAGTGGTACAATAAAATTTATATAGAAATTAATAATGTGCTACTAATAAAACTTTTTACAGTTGTAATTAATTTTAGCCAAAATTTTATAAAATATAAATAAAATAATTTATCTATAGAAAAAACTAATTTGACACCTAGTGTATTAAACCCAGGTGTTTGTATAATATGTAAATTAAATAATTTTTATTATTAAAATAAACAATAAACAAATTTTTAATTATTAGTGTTTAAAATAGAAGAAATCATAGTCTATATTACAAGAAATTTTTTTTTTAAAGCTTGAAAAGTAGTTTCATAAGCAAAATTTTAATATATTATTTATTTTTAGTTTTTTTCTTTATTTTTGTTATACAAACAAAGATCTACATATTGCATGCAATTTGGTATTTTAATTGGTTTTTTAATCATTTTGTATAACCAAGTATTAATACACACATGGTAAAATTTTGAGCTATTATATTATTTAAAAAAACTATACTTGTATATATTACAAAACTTTTCTGGGTTGGCTTAAAATTTTCTGGGGTTACACAAAATCGCTAAATTTGGTTAGCTAATCTATATATTAATTTTATTAATAAATTTTTATATCTAATCTTTAAAATTTTATATCTTGCTGAGTTTTAACCAATTTTAATTATTTTACTACCATTAGAATCAAAAAGACCTGCTCTACAAACTTCTCTTAAGAATTAAAATTAGTTTACTTAATACTATTTTTTATAAAATTAAATATAAAAAAAAAGTACTATTAAGTTTATATATAATTTTAAAATAGTATCTTCTACCTTTAATATTTAAAGTCATTTACTTTACTTCAAACAATTGAAATTATTAGCAAACTGTGCACAATGTAATATTGTAAGAAAAAATTAAAACATGACAATAATACAGGAACAAGCTTCTTAATTAGACATTTAAAAAATACAAAATGTAAGAAGTATCTTAAAAATGAATCACAACAAGAATTACAGTTTTCCCAACAGGTGTTACTACTTACAATTTCTCTCAAGAAAAAAGCTATCAAGATTTGGCAAATATGATCATAATGCACAGATATCTATTTCACATAGTTAAGCATAAAAGGTTTTTAAAATTTGTTTCTAATTTACAACCACAGTTTAAAGTGATGAGCGATAAGACAACTTGTGAAGATTGCAAGAATTATGTTACTAATCTTAAAAAAAAAGTTAATATAATAATACAGAAAACTTCTAGATATTTAAGTTATATGACTGATTTATAAATATCCAACCAAAATCTTGGATACATAGCTATTACAGGTTTATATATTTTAATATAAATTTTTATTTTTTTAATTATTTAATAATTGCTATATATTTTTATTAGGCTATTTTGTTGATAAGAATTGGAACTTTCAAAAACTAATCTTGGGTTTAAATTGGTTCTTGCACCGCATACAGGAACTGCGATTTGTGATACATTTTTTAAGTATCTTGAAGAGTGGAATATTGTATCAAAACTAAATATTTAGCAATTTAACAATTTTTTTTATAAGTATTTGCTTTTTACAGATATTAGAAATTACTTTGAACAATATGGCTAGCAATGATGCTGCTATACAAAATAAAGTGCAAGTTGAATAAGCAAAATATGCTTGTTGCAAATAGAGTTCTTCTGCATTAGTGTTGTAATACCCATGTATTAAATTTAATAGTTACCAATAGGCTTAAAGTAGTTAGGGATATTGTGAGTATGGTAAGTAAATAGTTTAATATTTTTTGTTGAATTCTAATTTAACATCGTCAACTCTCTCTAAACCAGGTTAGCTCCTGGTATATAAAATCATATAGAAAATGATATGTGTATAAATCACACACAATTTACGTTTACTTTGGTTATGTTAAATTATATATTATAAAAGATTATTATTACTTTTACTTTTAAATTTAATAGACAACTTAGAATCTTAAATAAATTTTATTCTAAAAGAACTTTTTGGAGTAGAATTGTAATCATTATAATATCACTAGCTTAAAATCAAACATATTAACCCAAAACAGCACAAGAATGAGCAAGTAGAAATAAAAATATAAATGATTGTATTGAAAATTTTCAAAACTTAATCTTCAAACTATGAAAATATAATTGAGTTAACTAATTTAGATAATACTCAAAGAACAATCTATTTTAGCAGTCTGGTTAACTTTAATAAATTAGATAATACTTAAAGAACGATCTATTTTAGCAGCCTGGTTAACTATATAGAATATAATTTTTAGATGATTAGTAATAAAAAACTATTCAATTCAAAAAACAACTCTTTCCATTAATCACTCTGCCCAAATTCAGAGCTAAAGAAACTATGTAAAAAAGTCACTACGGTACTAAACTAACAACTAAATTAGTTTTAGAAAAAAAGATAGAACAAGGAAATTTAATTACAGTTACTTAGAACAGTTTTGCTTTTTAACAACCAGGGCTTATAGTATTTTGAAATATTGAAATTTTTAGAAAAATTTTTAAAAAAATTTCTAATATTTTGGGGAATTTGTGTTTACCTTGTTCTGCAGATCGATCATCACAGGAAAAAACAGACGCGTACAAATTAGGCAAACAACAAACAAAACTAATATTTTTAGAAAATCAAGCAACAAAACAAACACTCGTGTTAATAAACAAAACAAACAAC